TTTCATCATTCGAATTTCTCCGTTGGTGGAAGCAGATTTTTTGTTTTGTTTTGGAGAAATTCCGAGAACTATTTTCTTGTGTAATTTTTTGAAGAAAGTGAGTTTCAAAATCATCGAACTTCAGCGCATTTTTCGTTTGAAAATCAAATTAAATAGCAGAAATTCCGAGAACTATTTACTTGTGTAATATTTTGAAAAGAAAAATTGAGATTCAAAATCTTCGAACTTCAGCGAATTGTTCGTTTTAAAATCGAATTAAATATCAGAAAAAAACTTCCCTATTGCTTTTGCAAATAAATTTTTCTCCGCTTCGTTCGGTTCAAATGAGGCTGAACATTTTTTTGCGAAATAAGTTTTCAAAAAGGAATTCAATCGAAGCTTTTCAAAAAACAAAAATCTGCGAACAGTTTTTCCAAAACCCTATCTTTTATTAGAAACTTTTTGTGCTTGAATCACAATGTATATAAGTCCGAAAATAACGCATGAAAACTCTAGGTGCTCAGAATTGAAATTGATCGACTTTTTTCTCATACAGTTTGTGAGTAAAATATTCCCAGTATATACAGTATACTGCTAAATATAAAATAAATTCGAGAACTTGTTGTTCGATCCCTTGCCAAACATAAATCACGATTTGTCCCGAATATCATTGCGTCAGAGATTCAGAACCCAGCTACTCATCTCGATCCGTGTACTTATTTTTCTCAGCATTGACGAGGAAGAAAAAAAAAAAGGATATTGAATAAAAGTCGAGGTTTTTAGAGATGAACCCGAGTCATTAGAATCCTCGAATTTTGTTGGGAATTAACAAGCGATACGCGTTTCAGGAAAATCCGTTGCGAAGGCAGCTATTCGAAGAACGTGACGCAATCGCAAAGCCGGAATGCAATTTACACCTTTTTTTCCTCCCCTTGAGGAAAATGGAAGAAATTGCCGCAGAATAACTCGACGAGATGGAAGACGAAGATGAAAAACCTGTAGAAACGAAAAGACCCAGTCGAGGTCAACTGAAAAAAAGCCTGACAACCAATTCACGAGTTTTATTTGCCCTCCAACTGCGGTGGAAATAAACCCGACGGAAAATTCAGCTTCCGAAATTGGAAAAAGGGTCAAGGGGAAGGTTTTAAACTTTGACAAAAAACGGGGGTTTCTCAAAAGTCGTGCGGGTCTTCCGGCAAAATTTTAATAAAATTCGAATGTGATCATGGCTTTGAAAATATACTGTATATGATTTGTAAAAACTTGAACCACATTCAAATCAGCTCACATTGGGGTCATATCCCTATCATCGACAAACATCCAGCTCGAAAAAGAATTTATATCACAACATTTTAAAAAATCACCTGACCTTGATTTTTCGTAGAATTTTTTTTAATGCAACTCTCCGAAGTTTCAACTAATCTTCATCATTGACGGTTGCATTGATATTTTTTAGAGACTAGACATGATGCGTTTTTTTCTAGAAATGGATTTCCAAAAAGAAACACTTGAATTCTGATTAATGACCTGAAAAGGTGCATAAATAAATCTGAAACATGCAACAGCAAATAAATTTATTCCATTAATAAAAAGCAGCATAAGATGGCTTCAATTCATGACACATAGTTATTATTTTTGTCAACTTGAGTTTTGTTAATCATGGATTTCAAAAGGTTTTTTTCAATTTCACTTGCGTCGGGACTCAAGGACTGTATTTTAATGTTATAAAAAATAATCTCATAATAATTTGAGCAAAAAGAGGTTTTATTGAAAAAAACATTCGGATCCAGCTCATCGTCTATCAGGATTAAAATATCATAATTTATTCATATAAGGGTTTTTAATTTGCGGAGATCAATCGATTAATACAATTCTTTAATAATAACGAAGTGATCGAGTCAGATTTTAAAGCATAAATTTTCCAATAATGGATTTTTTGGGGGAGAAATACATAAAATGTATATCAAACTTTCAGAAATCCCGGTGTTTTTTCGCAATAGAAAAAAATTTGTTTCAGAAAGTATTTGAGAATGAACGGACAGAATGAAATGAACTTTGCACAGAGCAAGCTCATGAGTCATTTTGCAAATTTTCCGCGGGGCAACATTTAACTGCCGAAACAAAACCTTGACCAGTGTGGTTTCATATTGGTTAATATTTTGAGAAAATATCTGCACACATTTAAATTGTAAATACAATTTAATGCTATCTTTCGTATTTGTCTGACAGTATTGTGTGGTTTCACCGTCTGAACAAGCGCAATTCCATGAATGCAAATTTTTCGCGAAAATGCCAAACAATAACAGTGTTTTTCAATCTTCGAATTACTGCGTGCATTCACGCGTCTGGTCCTGAGGGAAACCTAAATTGAAATAACGTCACAGACAATAAAAAGTTTTGAATCTTCGTCGGTGAATTATTCAAAAGGCCGAGAGGTTTCAGGAATTTTTATTCGCATCCCATTGGAACAAACGAGGACCACATCATCTTCTTGTTTATCCAGTGTATATCCCAAATGACCCGGTCTTTTTTATTTTTAATTATTCCAGGAAAAACGAAAACAGGACGCCGAAAGTTGAATGAACTTGAGACGCGACAAAAGTCGGAGGCATAGGAAAAATAAAATCGAGTGACGCAACGTTGTTCATGCGCCTTGAAGGTCGACGAAGGTCACATTTTGCTGAAGTAAACAATATCCCATCATTAGGGAATGATTATTTATTAAGCTAAGTGTTTGCGGGATGGAAGAAGCGATTATCGGTCATCGGTTAGAAAAGTGACGGACGCCTAGCTGTCACACGTGTCAACGACCCAGCAAAACAATTATATTTTCTCGTCCGACAGCCAGAAGAAAAAGCGGGACGATTTATTTAATGTCTCTCTTAGGTTCGCCAATTCAATTTTTATAGAATAGAAATGTAACAAATATGATCAGGTGCTTCCGAAGGAAAATTACGCCTCAGTAGAGGTCGTTTACATCGAGGAGACCACAAGGTGCAGGCGACACCTATCTTACAAAACTCGTAGAAACCATGCTTAGGTCTCCCGTCACATTTGTAGGTAATGCTGTCTCTTTGAATTGACACTCTCTCCATCTATGCAGAGCAGTAGCAACCTAAAGTGAATTGTTTTCAGAACAAAATGTGTGAAGTAAAGTGAGACCCCAAGATGCGGACATAAGTGGTGCTTCAAGAGTGTCCCCAAGTCTAAATGTCCTGAAGTCAAGTCTTGTTTTCCCATAGACTTACATCATATAATTTTTAATTTGTGTTTTGCAGAAGAAATATTCATCAGAAATCCCTGAAAAATATTTTTGCCACTTGAATTTTAATTATTGAATACATTTTCAACTCAATAGGAACATTTGGAGCATTGAATAGTGTATCTTTGTACTGTACACTGAAATTTTGGCATCTACAAAAATAACATTCAAGTGAAAAAGTAGGAGTCCCTCTACGCTGGAGGTAATTTTTTAATTAGCTGAATGGATGGTAAATTGGTGAGAGAAATGCTCAAGAACTTTTCTTACATCAATTTTAGGGTTGGAAATATCTGTTTCTTGTAATTTGGCCTGAAATGTATTTGCAANGTATTTGCAATTTTATCACAAAATGTCCCTATGTTGAGTCAGTGTCCTCATGTCAGGCCTTGTTTATTGATTTTTTTTCTGGGAAAATAAGTGTTCCTATGTCAAATTGTCCACAGGTCAAGGTGTCCGTATGTGGGGTCTCACTGTATAGTGCTGTGAAGTCATGTTGTAACTTTTAAGAAAGCCATTTATACCAGGAAAAAGGTTTGTTGAGGCAAAGCATTTCTTGTTAATGCAAATGAGATTGTGTGTATTACAGGCAGGAAACAGTTTGCTAGGAATCATATTTTTGTGACAAAATTTGTTATAAAAAAACTTCATAGTCAGCCCCCCCCCCCCCAACAGACCTCCTGCACAACAGATTTTTGCAGAACTCATGCTACCCCTAGAGGCAGTTTTTCCTCTTGTCTAACTGTTGAATTTGTCATAACAGACTTCAGTATGTAGAAATGTGTGTTACCAATGGGCATGAGTCCCTCAGTTCCCCCTTGCTTCCCAACTGAATTTGCATAACAGACTTCTGGCACAATAACAAGCTAGTCTGTTGCACAAATAAAGTCCATTGTGCAGGTGTTGACTGTATTCTGAATACATTTGGGGTTTCCTACTTAGATTAGGTACAAAAATTGAATGAACCAGTCACACATATTTTGCTTGAGACTGAATTTTTGAAAATAATGTCACTAAATTCAATTTGAATGCTTCACCAGGTGCATGGTATTTTGGGAACTTTTTTTAAGTGATTTAATCGTCTTTTTTCTATGGAAAAAAAAATTCTATGGAAATAATAAATATTCTGAATACAGTACAGTACAATACTTTGGAATAAAGCCGGAAAGTGGAAACCAAAACAGAATGTGGAAAAATGAAATGAAACAAACGATTCAAGTTGCACATCTATTATGTACTGCAGCGCCATAAACACAAACAGTGCAGAATTGCACATTCAAAAAAATCATCATAAAACAAAAATTAAGCATTGTATTACAAAATTCCTGAATCCTCAATTTCTTTGCCTGACCCATCAACCTTCAAATTTCATTACCTGACCATTGAAACAAAATTTCGCGATTTTCTACACCTTGAAAAATTGATAATAACAATGTCATCAATTACTAAAAAACCTTCTGAATCAATAAAGAGGATTTTATGAAAATAATGAATGGGAAGAAAAACAATGCAAAGAATACTGCAAAACAAAACAAGCTTTTCTTGCAGATTTTTGTTAGGACATTTTAAAAGCTTGAAACATTTCAAATCTCTCAGCAAACAAATCTAACATTGGTACTCACACAGGAAAAAAACCTCTGCATCAGGGTATCAAATGAAAAATATTTCATAAAAACCACACATTGATCACATTCAGTAAAGGGCACAAAAATACCACCCTTTTGTCGCTTTTTTTTCAAAAAATGCCTTGTTGGCAAAAAAAGCACTTTCTGAAAACCTCTTCCGCCCAACAATCACTTGTAAAATGAAAATATCCAGTCCCGAGTAAGTCCACAGAACCAGTTAAAAGATTCTCACAAAAAAAAAACTGGAAGATATACCTTGAAAGAATAAACAAAAAACAGGATTGCTTCTAGAAAGCTGACAAGACATTTCAATGTGACTCCCTGCCTGGCAAGCTTCTGACACTCTGAACACACCTTGTAAGTTGCTCTTCCTTCAACCCACATTTTCCTTCAAGGATTCCAGAAAAAAAAAACAATATTTTCCAGACAGCCATCTTGAAAAATGTTCCACAAGAAATCACCTTCCTTTCCTCAGAGATTCTATAAAATCTCACCCTATTCCAAATTTAGGACAAAGAGTATTCCATATATTCTCTAAATCTTTCGGGATAAAATGTTATTGTTGGACTCAACTTTTTTTTTTTGAAAGGAACATTTAAGAACCTACCGACCACTGTTCACTTTTTATTCACCATGGTTAATATGGATGTGGAAATGCTAATAGTTTCTTCCCATCCTTTTGAGAAGATGAAATTTACTTGCCAAATAACAAATTACAAAGAGAAGCAGACGTTTCAAGTTCATTTAATTGTTTAGATTAATTTAAGTATCTTCTGGGTCCAACAAACTCCAAAATTTGAAAATGCGGCTTGAAAAAATTTACTGCTTGAACTTAGAAAATGAATGGATGGGTCAAATTTCGTAGAAGTTATGGCTCCACTAGAATAGAATCCCTAGCCCATGCACGAAAGCTATTTCAATATTTTATTACTGACATTTCAAGTATTTTGACTTAAATTAATCTTGTATCCAAAGAATATTTGTTTGAGATTTTGACAACACGTTTGAAGCCTCCATTGTACTTCTCAAAATATAGTACCGAGTTTTCAAAGGAAACAAGTGGAAAATGTCTTTTTCTCTGCAACATACACATATGCTATGTGACAGCATGTTCTATACGTGTACGAGGCCGTTTTTTTCGGAACACGAATTCTGTCCTCTGTTGCAGAAACGCGGAGACTTCCAACGCATTGTTTCGATTCAAATCCCCTAGGTGTCGCAGCACTGGGTATGCGGCAGGTACCGCACTGTACTGCTGTGGATATGGAACATTTCCCAAGACGGCTGCGTCACAAGCACAACAACCCGAGAGTTTCTTCTTCCTCTTGATTCCTTTTTTTTTTCTTTTTCAGTAACCATTCGACCTTGAGCCGTTATTCGTGGGCACATAAGCGCCGTCGAAAGCAGCGTCGCTACGCATCGAAAAGTGTCGATACGCGGAATAATCGACTCCGTTCCCATTCACACTCATGGGCAGCGTGCCGTTCCCATTATGCGTGAGTTTCGGCGACGATTGCTGTTGGTGGTGGTGCTGGTGTTGTTGTTGTCCACCAAACAACATGGGGGCGGAGCCGTTGTTGGTTCCCTGGCGCCGCCGCTGCGACACGCGTCGTCGACTCTTGCGACGCGTCATCAGCACCCCGACAGCAGCAGCGAGACACAACACCGCGACGACGGCACTGGCAATGACGACGACCAGCAGCAGCGGGAATCCCGCTGTTGTCGTCACTTCGGCAGCTGAGTCTGATGACGTGGAGTCCATGTCACCTGTTTAGGGCAGACCAGTAACAGGTTGTGATCAAGGATCACAGAAGAACATGAATAAAAAATACTGGCAATCAGCCTTTTGAAGGCCAAGAACACACATTCAATACCAGAGTTTCCTTGAATAAATGTTCCTGAACATCAATCATTTACCATACAGTCAACCCCCATCTAATGGACTTGATTCGTGCAAGGAACAAGTCTGTTAGACAGAAAGTCCTTTAAACGAATTCAATTACATAAAAAATTGAAAATTTCAATTTTCAACACTAATTTTAAACCAAAAGAAGTATCCCTTACACGGGAGGTCTGTTAGGCGGGGGGCCACTGTATTTACTTGAGTACCCCGCACCCTTGAGTAAGGCGTGCACAGGGGTTTTTCAGTTCAAAATTTGGCTAAAATTGTATCTCCAAGTAAGACTTGCACCCCATTTTTTTAGGGACCTTAAAACCACAATATTTTGAAAATAAAAACAAAAAATTTGACTTTTGATGTGAATTGAACATGAATCTGATCAATTTTCAAATTTTTCAGTTAAAAAATGTTTTCTTGGTTCATTTGTCACAAATTTCTCCAGCATTATAATCAAGTATACACAACTTCCTAAAAGTTCTTGAAAATTTTGTACCTGCTTATGATGCGCACCCCTTTTTTTCTTCTGAAATTTGAGAAAAAAGGTGTGCGTGGTACTTGAGTAAATACAGTATATTGACAGTTTCAGTAGAGTTGAATGGATTGAATGTCAAAGAATAAGCACAAACAATGCCCAAAACAGATTTGAAAAACACAATTCAACAACACACAGGAGTAACATAGATTTGTGCACACAAATCATTTAAAAGGATAAGAAGATAATTGTCCAAGAGTTCAAGACAGACTGACTCTTAAAATCAAATTATTTTTTAGCTTTGATTGAGGAGGAAACCTTCATTGGTTTTCTCTCTCATTTTCTCCTCAACAAAGGTGGTACCGGTGGTAGCCAACTCAAATTTTTCATCAGACAATTTCAACTGCCATTGTCTTTCCAAAATGTCACACAAGTTAACAGACTTCATTTGCTACCTTTGATCAATTTATTGTGCTAAATGGGTTGGGGGACACTGGTCTAAATGACACTGTTTATCTGTTTTCAGGTATGTGCATATCATTAGTCATGATAAAAAATCACCTGCTCCACTGCTGCTGCTGCTGGTGGATGAGGGTGAGGGAACTGTTTTGGCTTCTGTGCATTTCCGATCTCGGTGTTGGTGTTGTTGGGATGAAGATGAAGATACTTCAGATGCTTGGAAGGCTTCAGCAGAAGTCATGGATACTGGAGACGAACCTTCCACTGCAATTATGCACACGTGGTAACGAGTGCCTGGGCTGAGGTCATTGAGTTTGTAGGCAGTGATGTCAGTGTGAAGGTCCAGGATGTTCACTGTGCCTTCATTGTCATCCCCAATTGACTGGTAGACCAGTTTGAAAGCTCGAACAGGCTGAAAAGGAAAAAAAACATGATTTTAAAGTAGAATCCAAATTCAAAAAACCATGTGTAACTGTAAAATGCTTCACTGGTTTTTTAAACTCAGTAATATAAATCAGAGATTTAAAAATGCCAATAAATATTTAGATTTCCTATAATTAAGCAACACTGTACTGTACTGTATTGGGAAAGTCTCCATTTTGAGATGGTCATACAGCCTAAGTAGACTTTTTCTGCACCAATTTTTCTTTCTTTTTGGTTAAAAGCAAAAGAAGTGCTGTAGAGAGGAGTTTGTTTCAGTGAGAACCTCTATTGGATGGTTAGAGGCCCCATTGATTGAAAAATTCCTTCAGGGGAAATGCTTTTATAGGGAGAGTTTACCTGCATTACATTGGTACAAAAAGAAATCATTACAGGGACTTTACAAACTTTACATATGTAGAGGTTTTTGACTTAATGAGGTTCATTTCATCAAGTTAAAACTGTTCGACCCCAATAAACCCTGATTTAAAGTGAGTCCCTAACTCCCTATACATTGAAAGACCTGTACAACAAAAATTTTTGCATTAAAAAATCCATTGGGCTAAAAAATTGCATTAGTGTTCCACATTACAATATTTTTTAATTAGGAACATTTCGATTTTTAATTATAGGAATCCCCTGAGCCACAACGTCTTGTCAATTATATTTTCCTGAGTAGTTTTCAGCCTTGCAACCTCTTCAATCATGAACCAAATGATCAATCAAAAATGTTTTGGTTGAGTGGTGAAAACTGTCAACTGTACATGTGGAGACCAATCCTATATTGCCTCTTACAAAAATCAAGAAGAAAAGTAATCATAAAATAATAAATGTAGATGCAGATTTGTTCACATCTTATTGTTGAAGAATTCCACTCTTTTTAACTAAAGAATTCCTGATCTTAGGAACAAATGGACAATTTCACAATGCAGTATTCTAATGGGAGTTTACACTTCATAAAACAATATAAAAAATTCTTGAAAACTGCTGTGAATTGGTTTTGTAATGCAGGTGTTGAGGACACAAGGGTCCCCAACAAATGAGAGCATTGCAGCACAGTGGAAAATAAAGATAAATAATCCCATTATTTCTGGACAATCAGCCAGTTTGTGGCCAAGTTACAGTATCTGTAATGTGTAATTAAGGGCACACCTTAATTACATATCCCTAGATTTGATCCCATTTAGTGTGATGCTTTATTTGTACTATGTTTTAGCTTGTGTGGACTGTGATTTTTGTATCAACAATAAACCAGACAAAACCATGGATACGCAATTATGGTGTTCCCTTAATTACATACGAGGGTTCTAACAAAAGTTCTCGGAATGAAAATGAAGATGGCGTCTAATTGAGCTGGAAAAAAATAGGGAGGAAAAACTGCTTGCAGATCTGGTCTGTTTGGCAAAAATCCCTTACATGGGAGGTCTGTTAGGCAGGGGGCCACTGTATTTACTTGAGTACCCTGCACCCTCGAGTAAGGCGTGCACAGGGGTTTTTCAGTTCAAAATTTGGCTAAAATTGCATCCCCAAGTAAGACTTGCACCCCATTTTTAGGGACTCTAAAACCACAATATTTTGAAAATAAAAACAAAAAATTTGACTTTTCATGTGAATTGAACATGAATCTGATCAATTTTCAATTTTTTCAGTTAAAAAAATGTTTTCTTGGTACATTTGTCACAAATTTCTCCAGCACTATAATCAAGTATACAGAACTTCCTAAAACTTCTTGAAAATTTTTTACCCCCTTATGATGCGCACCCCTTTTTTTCTTCTGAAATTTGAGAAAAAAGGTGCACGTGGTACTTGAGTAAATACAGTATATTGACAGTTTCAGCAGAGTTGAATGGATTGAATGTCAAAGAATAAGCACAAACAATGCCCAAAACAGATTTGAAAAACACAATTCAACAACACACAGGAGTAACATAGATTTGTGTACACAAATAATTTAAAAGGATAAGAAGATGATTGTCCAAGAATTCAAGACAGACTGACTCTTAAAATAAAATTATCCTTCTGCTTTGATTGAGGAGGAAACCTTCATTGGTTTCCTCTCTCATTTTCTCCTCAACACAGGTGGTACAAGTGGCAGCCCACTCAAATTTTTCATCAGACAATTTCAACTGCCATTGTCTTTCCAAAATGTCACACAAGATAACAGACTTCATTGCTACTTTTGATACATTTTTTGTGCTGAATGGGTTGGGGGACACTGGTCTAAATGACACTGTTTATCTGTTTTCAGGTATGTGCATATCATTAGTCATGATAAAAAATCACCTGCTCCACTGCTGCTGCTGCTGGTGGATGAGGGTGAGGGAATTGTTTTGGCTTCTGTGCATTTCCGATCTCGGTGTTGGTGTTGTTGGGATGAAGATGAAAATACTTCAGATGCTTGGAAGGCTTCAGCAGAAGTCATGGATACTGGAGATGAACCTTCCACTGCAATTATGCACACGTGGTAACGAGTGCCTGGGCTGAGGTCATTGAGTTTGTAGGCAGTGATGTCAGTGTGAAGGTCCAGGATGTTCACTGTGCCCTCATTGTCATCCCCAATTGACTGGTAGACCAGTTTGAAAGCTCGAACAGGCTGAAAAGGACAAAAAATGATATTAAAGTAGAATATAAATTTTAAAAACCATGTGAAACTGTAAAAATGCTTCACTGGTTTTTAAAACTCAGTAATAGAAATCAGAGATTTAAAAATGCCAATATATATTTAAATTTCCTATCATTGTACTGTACTGTATTGGGAAAGTCTCCATTTTGAGATGGTCATACAGCCTAAGTAGACTTTTTCTGCACCAATTTTTCTTTCCTTTTGGTTAAAAGCAAAAAAAAAGTGTTACAGAGAGGAGTTTGTTTCAGTGAGAACCTCTATTGGCTGGTTAGAGACCCCATTGCTTGAATCAGGGAAAATGCTTGTATAGGGAGAGTTTACCTGCATTACATTGGTACAAAAAGAAATCATTACAGGGACTTTACAAACTTTACATATGTAGAGGTTTTTGACTTAATGAGGTTCATTTCATCAAGTTAAAACTGTTTGACCCAATAAGCCCTTATTTAAAGTGAGTCCCTACACATGAAAGAACTGTATAACTTACAGTTTTGCATTAACAAATTCTTTGTGCTAAAAAAATTCATTAGTGTTCCACATTACGATATTTTTTAGTTAGGGACATTTAGATTTTAATTATAGGAATCCCCTGAACCACAATCTCTTATCAGTTATATTTTACTGATAGTTTTCACTTTTCAGCCTTGCAACCTCTTACTTCAATCAAGAACCAAATGAACAATCAAAAATGTTTTGGTTGAGTGGTGACAATTGTCAACTGTAAATGTGGATACCAATCCTATATTGCCTCCTTATAAAAATCAAGAAGAAAAGTAATCATAAAATAATGAATGTAGATGCACCTTTGTTCACTTCTTGTTGTTGAAGAATTCCACTCTTTTTAACCTTGCAATTCCTGATCTTGGGAACAAATGGGCAATTTCACAATGCAGTATTCTCAGGGGCTTCACAAAACAAAATTTTTATATAAAAAAAACTGCTGTGAATTGGTTTTGTAATGCAGGTGTTGAGGACACAAGGGTCCCCAACAAAAGAGAGCATTACAGAACAGTGGAAAATGAAGATAAATAATCACATAGGACTATCAGCCAGTTTGTGGCCAGGTTACAGTATATGTAATATTTAATTAAGGGCACACCTTAATTACGTATCCCTAGTTTTGATCCCATTTAGTGTGATGCTTTATTTGTGTTATGTTTTAGCTTGTGTGGACCGTGATTTTTGTAGCAACAATAAACCAGACAAAACTATGGATATGCAATTATGGTGTTCCCTTAATTACATATTCCCAGGCACAAACTAGCTGATTGTCCTGTGTACCATAATTATTTATCTTTATTTTCCACTGCACTGCAATGCTCTCTTTTGTTGGCAACCCTTGTGTCCTCAACAACAGGGACCCATCACTATACTTTTAAAACAAAATTGTTGAAAAAGAAAAGTTGGGGAGTGATTTTTGTAGCAACAATAAACCAGACAAAACTATGGATATGCAATCATGGTGTTCCCTTAATTACATATTCCCAGGCACAAACTGGCTGATTGTCCTGTGTGATTATTTATCTTTATTTTCCACTGCACTGCAATGCTCTCTTTTGTTGGCAACCCTTGTGTCCTCGACAACAGGGACCCATCACTGTACTTTTAAAACAAAATTGTTGGGCAATGTTTCCACTTGAGCGGATTTATATTTTCTGAGCATTTTCCACTCAACAAGTGCATAATTCTAAAATTCAAGGGAATGCCATTTGGAATAAGAAGGATGGGGAGAAAAAAAGAACCCCCAGCGAAGAAAACATCGAACAATTCCTTCTTCCACGCACGCAAACATACATATATATCACTCATGGAGAAATCCCTCAAAGACTTTTGAAAAAATAAAAATAAAATAAAAAACAGGGTTTTCACTCACGGGATGTGACAACATGGAATTCGCATCCCAGGAGACAACCAGGCCCGTGGTTTCCACACCCTCGACCACCAGATCAGTCACCAGGGGTGTAGAACACGCTTCCATCAAGGTACTGTCTGTCAGCGGGGTTCCTTTCAGTTCTGGAGGCGAGGAACAAGTGGGTATTTGTCTGTCGGGTGCCGACGACCTCCGATCCCTGTTGGCCAGGGCACCGTAACCCGTGGAAATCATTTGGTTGTCATTGTCCATCAGTTTGCCGCTGTCGGTCTTGGACCTCGTCAAGGATGACTCATGCTCATTCAGCCAAGAATACAGGGCTTCGATCGAGCAGTCACAAGCAAATGGATTGCCTGAACACACACACACAAAAACAAGTGGAGAGAAAAATTTCAAAAATGCATTAAAGCCTCTCCAATTTTAGAATGCGAGGGTTTTTTTTTAATTCAGGGAATTTAGCCCTATTGGCAGGGTTTGATGAAAAAAATTCACTTATGGGTGCAGGTTTCCCATCAGATTCTTATCACCAATGAAATACAGTATAGTTAGGTTTACAAAAGTGAGAACAATTTATCTTAAAATCTGTCACTCAGATACATTTTTTTATGTTCCATGTAAAAATATGGTTATCATTCTACCTGCTTTAGAAGACTTCAAAAAAATTTATTTTCAAAATTGACAGAGCTACAAACATTTATTTTGCAAGTTGGGGGTTATGCCATTGTAGTCATATTAACAACCACAACACCCTTCACTTTCCGCACAACCCTTTTAAGCTAATGTATTTCTGCTATGCTTGGCTGCGCCTGGTGCGCTAGCAATTATATTTCCCAATCCTGTTGTTGACGGAATACTTTCCCAACCACGCTCACGCTTCTTTCCTTTTGAACAAACAAAGTGTGACATCCCCAATCCGAATCGGTTTCTATGTGTGTTCTTCAACCTTGGCCTACCAAAGCTATATATACAGGTGCATTTTATGTTGCATTTAGTTTACCTCACCAGACTCTGTCTGAATGCTGAATCCATGCCACTTTGCTTTGTAGTATTGTATTGTATTGACTGTGTGTGAAGATATAATAAATAACATTTGAAATACTCACATGGAGTAACTTTTGTGTTTCCCTTGAAAGTTGCAGAAAACAATTTAAATCTCTGACCTCTTTTTCCTTTAATTATAGAAGGGATAAGTTCTCAATGACTGATCATTGTTGATCACTAACTTTAAAATTATATTTTTTGGATAACACCATATACACAGATCATTTTTGATTGGTGATTTTTGCAGATTTTATTCATTGAAAGCAAGTTTATGCACGATTTTATTTGCTGATGATGATGCTGTGTAATTATATATTTTTATACAGTGATGAGAAAAAATATAGTCTCCAGAGATCATCCAATCAAGGAGAGAGGATGCTTCTGGTTTCTTTATTCTTTGCCCTTGGATCACAGAGGGTCAATTTCCATTTCATGGCAATGCCAGGAAATATTTGCACACTGGCATGTTTCTGTTTGACCAAAAGATAAAAAAGCAGTTTTGATTGTGTAGCCAAGGTCTGGCAAAATCCAGAAAAGTAAAACAAATTGTTTTCAAAGTCCCTCAATCCTAATCCTATGGCAGGAATATAAAAATGCCACCCAGCAGTAAATCTTTTTTCAATGAAAATGTTTCTGCAGAAAAGGGGAACAATTTGGGGGTTTTCTGGACTTTGGTTCTTCTGACCATTCAAGGTTTTTCTATTTTTGGGCTTTGTGGCACAAAATTGTGCAAAAGAAATCCTGGCTCCATTGCCAAAGGATTAAAGCCATTAACCCTTGGGTGGCAGTGATGGAATTTATCTGCAAAATTTTGTGACACAAGGAGCATAAAAATGAGATAGAAAAAATGATCAGAGGAGCCAAAGTTAGAAAAAATTCTGCATTATTGTTTAGCATTCCTGCAGAAAAGTTTTTGTCAAAAACGTTACTGTTGGATGAAATTTTTTCTGCATTCTTGCCATAGGATTACCAAAGAGGGATTTTCAGAACAATGGCTTTCCCTTTCTTGGATTTTTCCTGACTGTGGCTGCTCAGCCAAAGCTGCATTTTGGCAACCTTTGGTCAAACAAAAATGCACAAGCATGCAAAAAATTCCTGGCACCACTGCACGATATGGAAAGGGACCCAAGAGTTGATGAAGATTGTGTGCCTAAAACTAAAAATGCTTTGAGGCGGCATAATTGCATCAGCACACTCAGATGTTATTGGGGGACAAATGTCACCACAATATAATATGATGTCAAGTGTCAAGGATAATAAAATGCAAAAATCAGTCTGGGACAGGACTGGGAATTCCTTGGAGGAATTTCCTAGTTTAAATGGATAAATGTACTTTCACACAGAATAAACTTGATAAATAGCAACAACTCAACAAACTCTTCTTGCAACTTGCAGCAGGATAAGTGAATAACTCAAATGACAAATCACAACTGATAAATGAATATTAAAAGATGAGTTTCTTATATATTGCAAATTATATTTAACCTTCAATGGTTTTTTCTCCCTTAATCAGGTCAAGAAATATTTTGTTGAGGGTGCACTGCAATCTCGAGGAGGGGGAAAATTATTTCCTTCTTCTAGGAATTATTATGTAACATATAAAATTACATGATGTGCTTGCCCAACATAACAGATGTCTCTTGCATCCGGATGTAATTTAAGCTTTTCAAAATCTGCTTTAACCCTTGGGCAGCAAAGTTGGACTATTTTTGCAAAATTTTGTTTGACCTCAGAGAGGTGAAGAAAAAAATGTCAACAGGGGGTTAAGAAAAAATCCCAATGTTTTTTTCCTGGGGCACATAAAATTGTTGATGCTCAGTGAGGCTATGGGCTTCTTTCAGATTTATACCCACTTTGCCTCACCCCACCTGGAGGGGTTTTCCTGACCATTGAAATTATGAAAATGTGGGAGGATACAAAAATAATCCAACTCCGTCCTGCTATGGGAAAGAACCCTCCGCTGTCCAAGGGTTAATAATTTCCTCAACCATTTTTTTTCTTCAGAAATATTTTATTTAAAAAAAATCACCAGTGAGAAGCAGGGTCTTCAACTTATCCTCCACAGGCCGGAAAGCTCTGGGGGAAATCTTCTCAACCTTGTTGTCACTCAAGTCCAACAAGCTCAGTGACTTGAGCGGCAAAAACGTCTTGGAACTGACAATGTTGATGAGATTGCCTCGGATTATGAGTGCCTCCAAGGCTTCCATGCCGGCAAAGGCATCCGAGTCCAACGTCGCGATCCGATTGTAAGACGCGTCAATCACTTTCAATCCCCTCACGTTCACTAATCCCACCAAGGAGTCCAGGAAATTCCTGGTGACGTTCAGGGATTTAAGCGAAACTAATCCCCTGAGTCGTCCGTTGTCGAGTCTCGACAGCTCGTTGAAACTCAGGTCCAGTGTCGTGAGTGAGCCCAAGTGCTCAAAGGCCCCGACTGAGACTTCGGAAACTGCGTTTTCTCTCAAACTCAGTGTAGTGAGTTCCCCGAAACCCTCAAAGTCGTGGGTTGACACGTAAGTGAGTTTGCCCCGGGATAAGTCGAGTTCGGCGATGTTGGATTGCAACAAGGCCGTGGTTTCAGCTTCGGAAATGACGGCCCCGGAACCCGACAAGTGGAATTCGTCGGGGCCGCGAACGTTCACCAGTGGGTTCCCGGCCATGTTCAAAGTCCGCAGCATTTTCAAACTCGATTTTCGCACAGAGAATGGCAACGCTGTGAAAAGGTTTCCGCTCAAATCCATGCGTTCGACTTGCGGGGATCCGCTGAATGTGGCCGGGGATAAAAAGTCCAAACGGTTCCCGGACAAATCCAGGACTCGCAAATTTGACACGTCGTCAAATGCCCTGGGCTCCACCTGCAATTTAAAAATATTTTTTGCGGTTTTTTGTGTGCAAAATTTCACACTGAATTATATATAGTACTGTACCATTTATACGCTCAGGTGAGACCCACATCTTGATTTTTTAGAAACAAAAAAAAATCAATTCCCACGTAAGACACAACGCCCAGTTTTTATTTTATTTTATTTGGTGACACAAAAATCAATTTACATATTCACTCAATTGCCACGCAAATAAAATGCGCATAACTCCAATTTTTTGGCATGGAATTGGCTCAAAAATGTATACCTGTATGATGAGACACGCATCCCAAGTTTTTTTCATCTTTGAAAATTCAGTTTTTCAAGAACTGACGTTTAAAATTTTTATCTTGTGATTGAAATACATGGAGGTTTTTTAAGAGAATTGGTATCGAAAAAAAATTTCCTTTTGACGATTTTCACCTTCAGGGACTAGCTTTTCATCACTGGTTTCATGATTCCCAGAAAATGTATACTGTACTCATTTATTTATTTAAGAAATGATTGATAATATTTGGAATTTCGGCTAATACAGTACAATTGGAATTACGGTGCATTTGACTTTGTTTCACTTGTTTATATTCCACATTGGCTTGAGAGTAAATAAATACTTTTATTCAATCTAAACTCTCAGAAATTAGTTCGTTGAACTTCACTATTCAAGGTATGACGCAACCCTAAACTTGCAAAATTTGCAGGAAACTACTATACTATTCTATATTGGTACTAAATTAATTAGAATATTTTCTTTAAATACATTCATGAAAAGAAAGATGCCAAATCCAATACATTCTTTGCATTTTTTACTGCATTAGCTTCAAAATGTCCACATGGTCAAGTAATTTCAAAATATAAAAACTTACTGGTTTCAACAATTCTCAAAACATTTTTGCTCTCATTTCGAAAGAGAAATGTTTCAAATTGGAATGATCTTCAAAATTCAAAAAATTCATGCACCAGTTCAAAAATCACCAAATGCATGAGATGACCCATTATTTTTAGTGCAATTTTCTGACAGAAGTACAGTATTTCAAAAATATTTTTCTCGCTAATTATTTTTACAACCTCAGAAAAATAATTATTGAAAATTAATATGGAAGATACCAATTATGAAACTTTACAGCAAATGAATCAGAAATTGCGACAACAATCAGAAATGGAGGCTTCAATTTTAGTCAAAACTCTCAAAACTCAATTTGAGTCCTGGCAAATAATTTGTAGCACGCGCATGGGAATTATCAACAACCGCTCGCGCATATTTTTTTTTTCAATGAAGAAATGACTTTGAAAATCGTATATGGAAATACGGTAAATGAAAATGAATAAATCCAAATAACAAACCTTTGACACTTGACTGGCTCTCAGGTCCAAGAACCTCGCATTCCTGACCAATGCAATCATGGATCTCCGGACCTCGGGAAAATTATTTCCGGACAAATCCACGTGCTCCAGCGTTGCCAACGGGGCTTCGGAGCGGAAAAAGGAAGTGTCCACTAGACTCGTGTTCTCTGCCAAAAGTTCCCTCAAGTTCCCAAGACTCCTCAAGTGCTCCAACGTTAATCCCGGGAAATTGTTGCCAACGATGCTGAGCCGTTGCAAATCCTTCCATCGTGCGAAAAAGTCGCGCGGAACTTCAGTGAACGGCACTTCGTCCATCTCAAACACTACTAATCCCGGAACGGAAGCGGAAATATCCGGGATCGAGTCGAACGGGTTCCTAGACACCTTCAACGCCTTCAAAGACGAGCTGCTGAGCGACTTTGAGCTCAACGTTCTGAGTTCATTCGATGCCAAATTGAGTTCTTCGAGGGAGTTGAGACTGTCGAAAGAGCCCTCGGAGATTCTCTGGATTCTGCAGCTTTCCAAGTCCAATTTGCGCAGGAAACTGCGACCAGCTGCGTGGAACATGTGTGGCTCGATCGTCGTCAACTGGTTTCCCCGCAAACTCAGTCCTTTCAACTTGGTCAACGTCTCGAAGGTCTTCGGCCCGATCGTCGAGATTTCGTTCGCTTCCAAATTCAGTTCCGTGAGTGCGACGAGTCCGGCGAACATTTCCGCACTCAACTCCGTCAAATGATTCTTGCCCAAGTCCAAAACATTCAGGGACTTCATCCCGCTGAAAGTCGAGGCTTCGATCGTCTTGAAAAGGTTGTTGTCGAGATACAGTTTCTTGACGCCGGACATCGTTTTGAAAACGCCGTTGGGCAGGGTTTGAATGCGATTGTCGCTGAGTTTCAGCAACTTGAGCCGCGTTTGTCTCGCGAACGCGTTCGGGTGTATTTCCTCCACGTTGTTGCCGACGATCGTCAGTGTCGACAACATCGATGCCCCCGACGAGTCCAGAATGACCCCTATTCGCTTGATTTCATTCCTGTCCAAATTCAGAGTCTTGAGGGAAGACAGACTGGAAAAGGCTCCGTCTTCTATCGCCTCGATCCGGTTGTTCTGCAAAACCAGCGTCGCCAACCTCGTCAGTCCCGCAAACGTCTGCCTGCCAATCACCGCGATTTCGTTGTCGTGCAATCGCAGTTCCCCGAGGTTTTCCAGTCTGGAAAAGGACTCGTATTCCAGGGTTTTCAGCTGGTTTTCGCCGAGATTCAGGGTCCTGAGTGCGATGAGCGACTCGAACACCTTCCCGGGAAGTCGTTTGATTTTGTTGTTGTTCAAGTGCAGCTGCATTAAAAAAGTGAGTCCGGAAAAGGCCTTGGGGTGGATTTTCGAGACCTCGTTATTTTGCAAGTGCAGAATCGTGACGGACGACGAGCCCTTGAAGATGTCAGCTGCGAGTGTGGAAATGCGGTTGTTGCTCAAGACCACTTCCTCGAGTTTCGGCAGATTTCGGAAAAGCCCCTGGGGCAAATTCCTCAGGCTGTTGTGGTTCAAGTCAACGCGCTTCAGCTGCTTTCGGTCCTGGAACAAATCCGGGTCCAGGCTGGAAATCCTGTTGTAACCCAACCCCGCGTTCTTCAGCTTCTCGGCATTGGCGAAAAGCGCCCTCGGCAACTCTGTCAACTCGTTGAAATAGAAAGACACCGTTTCCAGATTGTCAGAGATGTCCAGGGAGTCCTCGGTGAGATTCCCCAACTGATTCCCGCTCAAGTCCAGCGTTTTCAGCAGCGGCAGAGAAAAGCTCGGGTCGAATTTCAGCTTGGAAATCCGATTCCCCTGCAAATGCAGTGACTGCAAACCCGTGAGTTGTTTCAGGGACAACGCGGGGAACCCCGGGATTCTATTGCTGCTTAAATCCAGGGACTCCAGACTGCTTTCAAGCCCGGCAAACCCGTCTTCCGCAATGCGCCTGACTTCGTTGCTCGCCAAAGACAGGGTCTTCAGCGGCAACCCGTGGAACGCGTAACTCGGGACTTCGTTGATCCGACTGGACACGATTGCCAAGGACTCCAACTTGCCCAGGGGTTTCACGGCATCCAGCGGCAACGCAGTGAGTTCAGAATTCGTGATTGACAGACTTTCCAGGGACTTTTCCAGGCCCTTGAAAGCCCCCGGTTGGAATTCGGCGAAGGAGCACTGGGAGAACTTCAGGTCTCGGATCGGAGCTGACCGCTGGAAAATGCCGCGGGGAAACACGGTGACGTTGCCGTCGGCGTTGTAGACGCTGAGTGTGACAACGGGGTTCCCGACACGAGTGACGACGCTTTCGAGCGTCGTGAAGTCAACTTCCGGGCACTCGAGTGACACGCCCTGAGTGACGTCGTAGCAGGTGCAAGATGAGGTTTGGGGGTCCCCCGAAGCGGATGGACACCCCGATTGTTGTTGTTGTTGTGGTTGTGGGCTGGAGAATGAGGGCAAAACGGAGACGGTGGCAAGGATGATGATGACGAGGAAAAGGGTGTTTGGCTTGACAGTGACGATGACGTCCGGCCACGGGTGTCGACGACGAGTTTTTCCCATGCTGGCGAGAGACGGTCAAGTAGTGTGTATTTCTTGATACGACGTTAAGCCCCTTTTTATTTGTGTCACGCCGTCATCCGTTTCTGTGAAAGAAAAAAGAAATCGAGAGATATTCAAGTTTTGAACAAATTTAAAATTCGAAAATAACCCGCAAGAAAGTTTCCTAGATCAATGCAATCACTTGAGATCAATTTCCCTTTTTCAACAATAATACGAGCGACATCTAGTGAATAAAACAAATTGTTTTTAGAGATTTGTAATAACAATTTGCCAGGTGTCCGTGCTCATCTGAAAAAACTGAGTTCTAGACTTCTTTCTTGCATAACAACGCACAAGAAAAATGTGTAGCCAAATACAAGATCCACCCAAAATTGTTTTTTTTATCCCAGCAGTATTCCAATAGGAAAAAATATTTTTTTGTCAATCAGGTATAAATACCCCAGTCATAGCAAGGGAACCAATTGTGTCTTGCAGTCTTGGGCTCAGGGTCCCACTACTGCAGCACCCCAACATTTTTGCACACTCAAAGCTGGGAATCACGTCCCACTGCCCTCCAAATATCCTCTCATAAACAAGAACAAAAGAAAACAAAATACTGTATATACTGTACATGCACACACACACGCACACACAGAGACAGTGAGAGGTGAAGAAACAAAGAAAAACGGGACATGTCGCGAATAACGAGGGGGGCTGGGACACCAGTGGGTGGGGGGGAGGAAATGCTTGGGCTATTTCCGTTCCAAAACCGTTTACCGACCAACAACAACAAATATAGAGCAACAAGAAGCAAGCAGCACTGTAGCACGAGCCACATATTGTTCTCGTCAACCATCACTGAGTCTCTATACAGTACTGTATTGTATACAGTATTTGACTTAGGGGCACTGTATTGTATACAGTATTAGCTAGACTCCAGCGCGATTTTAAAATTTTTATGTTTCCTTGTTTGCCTATAAGCCCCCCCCCCCCTCACTCCTTCAGATTCTGTACTGTACTAAGCTGCATGTAGTCTACTTCTAGTCTGAACCTTTTCTGCCTTGACTTCACAAAATATTTTTCTTTTGGTGTTTCAGAAAAGATAAACTACTAAAGTTGGAGTCCATGTTGTGAAGAAAATTTAGTTATATTGGGTACAAATTCTACTAAAGACTATCTGGTTGTCATTGCAAGCAGATAATCTTCTGGTTGTCCAGTCTTGATTTCTAAAACAAGCAATGAATAATCAGAGAACCTGAAGAAAAATTCTGGTATTTTCTGAAATGAAAGGCAGGACATTCTAAATATTCACTATCTCAGATGATTAATTTGTTGAGGATTTTGAAATGTATTGGATTTAAAAATTTTCAAAGCCAGGAAAGGAACAGAGAAAAAACCAGGGCTAGTCTGAGAAATATGCAAACACACACACAAATCCTATACAAATTGTATGGAAGATTTAGTGCCATGAAGCGCAGTATTGGGGGGTTTGGTTCATAAGTTTAGATACTTTCTGAAATAGATCCAACAGAGTTTCAAAAATGCCACAAAAAAGTCTTGCTTGCATAATAGCCCTATCATTTGACCACTCTTCAGTGCTGTTCAACATACTCTTTGCTAATTTCAATGCACTTTTTCATGCAATAAATCCAATGATCAAAACAGTGCCTAAAATCAAGGTCTCTTAGTTGATTGAGTTGCTCTTTGTCAATGTCTGAACTGAGGCTGCTGTTCCTATCCTCACTTACAGATAGTTTTTCACAAAATGTCAGGAGCAGCCAGAATAAGTCAAAGGGTGCCTAATCAACCAACATAACTCTATTTTTGACACTGTTTTGATTGATGAATTCATCCAACAACAAAAAAACATTGAAATCAGTAAAGATGATACTGAACAGCCCTGAAGGGTTGCCAATTGATGGGGCCACACAAAAAAGCATTTTTTGTTTGAAATTGTTGAAACTCCATTGGATCTATTTGGAAAAGTCTTTGAACTTATGAACCACCCCTCTTGCATACATAGACAAGCCCGGCAGCAGCAACATGGCATACAGGAAACAAACCTGGCTGAGTATAGGTGGGGGGAAAGAGATCCAAACCGACAGGGAAAAACAGAGAAATTGGGAGAGATGGCATTTGCTGGCTTTTACTTTTATTTTGTATTTTTAAATGTAATTTCCCTGCTGTCGGCTGGCACTGAGAATACTGAGGAAATGGGAGGTATTTTCGCCCTTAATTCTTCATCAATGTTTAATGTGGAAAATAAATAAATAAAAATGCATTGGGGTACTGTCAATAAGGGAAGTACAGTACTTACAGTTGAGGTGATATTCATCAACCAGGGAAATTACGTTTGCATATTTTTACACTTGAACCTCAATAACTCAAACCGCCCTAAAGTCAAATATCTGTCTGTCTTGAATACATATAAAGTCTGTGCCGGAATTCTCCTGAAAAAAATTTCACTGTAAGTTTTCCTAACTGAAAGGCTTTCCACCAAAATTCACCATAACTAAAATTTTCTGGTGGTTTTGGGGGAAGCTTTGTTTCTAATTCAATTTAGACAAGGACTTGAAGAAAAAAATTGGAATGGGGAAGTATTTGAATTAAAGAGGTTCCAATAATTACAGAATTAAAGATAAGTAAAAAAAATTGCAGGAAATTGTAAATGAGGATATTCTGGACCTAAACTTGGTTTCTAAATGAGTAGACAGGATGCTGAACTTGAAGGCAAGGGTTCATTATAGTCTTTCACTTCCTTTCAAAACATGCATATTATTTCTTAAGTATCTTTTCTCTTTCCTGTGTCAAGAAAATAACTCCAATATTTTAAAAGTCCTTGTCTGAATTCCCTTAGAAACAATGCATTGAAAAGCCCCCTAACTCAAAGTCTATTTCTCCAAAACCTCTTCCAGTCAAATTTTCTGAGGCCTTTTGGTTACTATTTCTTTGAAATATGAAAGAGAAAATCACTGAAACAAATGATTTATGCATCTTGAAAGGAAGTGAAAGACTAATTATGCAAATGCATCCAAGTTCAGCAAGCTGTAAACTCATTAAGAAGCAAGTTTAAGCCCAGAATACCCTAATTTACAGTTTCCTGCAATGTTTCTTTTACTTATCCTCACAGCAAAAATGTTTGTTTCCCAAACTCAAAACCTCCAAAAATCTAAACCTCTCTGAGTTACATTTTTTTCCTGGTCCCTAAAAATGTGACTTTGAGAGGTTCAACTGTATTTGACTCTGGGAGGTTCAAGTTATCGAGATTCAACTGTATCTTCTTTTCATTTCATTGTCAAACATTCTTTTTCTGAGAAGCCAATTCAGGAGTCACCTGAATCCCAAACATGAATCCAACCACACCCAACCTTGGTCGAACCCATTCACTTCGATTCAAGCGACACCTACGCACAAGAATATAAATTCCGCAAATAAGGACAGACGGACAGCATGAAAAAATAAGAAAAGAAAACGCTACAGTAAAACCTTATTTAGATATTCAAAATAATGGAGTGTATCTGATCCGATTCTTGACAACCAAAGCGCATATTTTACAATACTGAGAAAAACTGGGTTCATCCTATTTTCTTCCCTGACAGTCTCGGGGTTAGCCAGACCTGCAGCCACAGGTTCCACACACACACACACACACACCCCACCCCCACCGACAGGAAATATAGTTCTTCTTTTATTTTTTTTCTTCAAATTTTCGACAGTCTCTCTGGGTTTCCTTTTTCCTTTATTTTATTATATTTTTACTTCCGCAGCCTCTCCCCGGGTTCGTGTGGAGGGACTTCCTTCATGAACCCGCTAAAAATAAAAGTCGCCGGGGGCCCGATGAGCGACGACGATAAAGGCACTGCCATGCTGACTTTTTGGGCCACATGGGGGCAAAGCGAAAGTTTTATCGCCTCAAAAAAAAAATAAAATCAGTAATGCAGTGAGTGCCCACTATGTTATTAGTGCAATCAGAAATGCAATTTTGCCTACGGTTACATGGTAAAAAAAAAACTTTCTTGGCTCTCAAAAAAAAATTGTAATACAGGAAGTTCCCACTGTGTTTTTTGAACTCATTGCTTAGAAAAGCTGAAAGTCAACAAAAAGTGCTACTATTTACCTGTTTTTCAGAGCAAATGTTGGTTTTATTATCATTTGAATGTCTTTTTGGAGATCACAGTTTCTTGAGCACTGAAAAACATCTGAAAAGGACACAAAAGGAAGATGTTGAATATTTGCAGGTTCTAATTTCAAGGAAATCTTCCGATCAGTCGATAATTTTGAGAATCTCATTATAACAAATTATTCATTGCAAAAACCCTTTTCTGAAGTCCCCACAAGTTTGTTGTAAGGATATTATGCAGTATTCCAATTTTCTTCAAATGCCAATTTTAAGGAAAAAGCTGTTAGGCAAGCATAGAAATATTGATGCACTTTTGCTTGATATCTTCTAGAATTTCATCTACCACTTAAAATCAAATGACAAACCTTATGAAGGGTTTATAAAGACTTTTGAAGGTTAAATATTAATTGTTAAGCTGGTAAATTGCACAGAGCAGAATATTATTAGAATCAGAATCATATTGTCACGGGTCCACTAGATGTCACCCGCGCATGCCCCGATTAACTCGGGAAAACCAGGTGCCGCCCGAGTCAGCACAACAACAGAATGTACGAGAGTACGACGCGGCGTACAAAACACTGCGTCGTCCTTGTAACTCGGAAAAAGTATTCCTGAAAAAGGAGTAAGTAAGTTGGTTTTATTATCATTTGAATGTCTTTTTGGAGATCACAGTTTCTTGAGCACTGAAAAACATCTGAAAAGGACACAAAAGGAAGATGTTGAATATTTGCAGGTTCTAATTTCAAGGAAATCTTCCAATCAGTCGATAATTTTTGAGAATCTCATTATAACAAATCATTCATTGCAAAAAACCTTTTCTGAAATCCCCACAAGTTTGTTGTAAGGATATTTTGCAGCATTCCAATTTTCTTCAAATGCCAGTTTTAAGGAAAAAGCTGTT